GTTAAATCTCTGTGTGTTCTTATGGATTTGTGTCGATTCTTGTTTTTCTTCACCCTAATTTCTCAACAGGCTCATATTCGAGCTAGTCATTTTGTTTATAAGTTTGCTGAAATCTAAGCTTTATATGACATTTTAGCAAGGTTTGAACCTTTTTTGTTTAAAAGATTGGTTACAGATCCATATCATACCTCGAGATTTGTGCCTAATGTAGAAATTTGTCGATGTCCTATCAAGATTAAGTATCAAACTTTGGATTAAATATGTAAATACATAAAAATTGTGTGTTGCCTGTGTAAATTTCTCAAATTTTATTCTGTAAAAAAAAAAATCTAGCCGAATTGCTTCTAAAGTGCAAATTCTGAGTTTCTTTTTCCTAGAAATATCATAGACTACAACCATTAAATAAAAACAAAATTATATAGTTTTTTCTATGCTAGTTGTTATAAATAAGGGACATTTAGATACACATCACACAATTCTTATATATTTATATACTAAATACAAAACTTTTAATTTTTTAGATGCATAAATTATTTATAAATTAAAATCTCAGATTACATATTATTTAAATATAATAGAAATCACAAATACCAATCTTTTTAAGTTCCTCTTTAACAAGAATTAAAATGTGACTGTCGTTGATCACCGCCAACCACCATCGACCACTATCGCTGAACGCAGCCAATCGCTATCGGTTGCCGCCAATCGACATTATAACTTGAAAAACCTAGTAATCATCTCACTTCTATGAGACAAGTGATTGCAACTGTAATCTTCTTTTTATAGTGGAACTCTTCAATTGGGTCAGTCCCGATGATTTTCCCTTTCTGGATTTTCCACATAAGAACTTCGGGTGTCATTATTAGTTACTTTCTCTTCTTTAACTGTGTGATGAACCTTCGTACCACGCTAAAACGATAATCTCCTACTATATTGTTGTGAATTTTCTAGCACTCATCAACATCCAAACCAATATTTTTTTCAAATAAATACTTAGAGAATGGGTTGTCGTGGCAAGAAATTCTAAATGGAAGGTGTTTCTTGCCAATCAAAACATGAATATAAAATAAATATGAAAATGATGTATATATGACAAGTGGGCATAAAGAAACAAGACAGGAGGTGTAAACGCGAAAGATATCACATTCATGAGAAATTTATATCAATTAAAGGTTCATTTACGTCATAACACCCAATTCTTATGTATTTACATATCTACCGCATGTACTTTGCTTTTGACATTTATACCACCCAAATCTTTCATATTACTCAAAAAATAAGACCTTTTTTTATATATGTAGTAAAACGCAAAGATTGACGTGAGATGTAAATATGTGTGAATTGAGTGATGTGTATGTAAATCTTTTTTTTATATATAAAACCCTTGACTTGGCTGATTAATATACACATAGCTAAAACTGATTCCTCCAAAAAGGCCATTGTTTTGTAGTTTTCATACAGCTGGTTGTCCTTATTTACAGCCAAGTTGCCTAAGGGCCAATGAATATATATATATATATATATATATATATATATATATTAAAAGAGTGGTATTTGAGAATACCACTCCCCATATGTGTTGTCTCTCCCCGTAGAGGTCGAGCCTGGTTTAGAGAGCCTGAACCTGGGCAGAGGAGTCTTACGACTGACAAAACAGCTACCTACCAACTTGTCACCCAATGGTGCATATATATATGTATACATACATACATACAATTTAGAATTTAACAAATCAAAATTATGTATTTTACAGGGATTTCTTTTAAGAAATAAGAGATTTTTGTCATTTCTAATATTTGGTTAGAATCAAATCATAATATTGTTTATGATGAATCTGTAATCTCTTCGAATATTTATTTATTTCTATTAACAAAAGTTGAAGATTAATTGAAATCAGATGGCTTCTAATTTTTAAAATTTTATTAATTAAATGATCCTATCATGGCATGCCACTATCATTGACATATCCCACCTTGCTCATCTTCATTGGCACAACCAACCCTAATGTCATCATCTATGACCTCACTATCCTTTGCATCAACCATATAATGTAAATTAAAAATATTAAAATTTAATAGCATAAATTAACTTTTTTGGGCCATGATATAAATATCGTCCAAATTCTCTTAGGCCCCTCAAATTATTGTTCTAAGTACGTATGTGTTCGCATTCTATTAATAAACTCACGAGTTAAGACAATACTTGTCTGCATCTCTCCATTAATTTAATGTCCTCTCCTCATCAGTCTCTTCTCCGTACTTTTGCCGATATAATAACATGAGTCCTGACACAATTTTTATATATTTTCATATTTAAGCGCTATTAGTGTAAATATGAAAGCTCAAGCGTGAGATATGTAAATACATAAGAACTATGTGTTATATATGTAAATGACCCACATAATTAAGAAAAGAAACATTTTCATACATGTTGTTAAATTCATATGAATTTACATGACTAACATTTACATTTTCTTTTTTACATTTTTTAATATTCACATCTTTTATATCATGAAAAACTATCACTATCACTTATTTTAAAAGTGAAATGCATGCTCATATGCATAAGAAATATTGATATAGATATAAAATATTAGGTTTTAAATATGTAAATACATAGGAATTGTATGGAATGTATGCAAATATTCCTAAATAATATCTATTCCAAGCATATAATTAATCATAAGAATATCATAAATTTCTCATAATCTTCCTATGTAAACTCAAAGGTTGTTATATATCATATATAATATAGATAATTTACAACTAATCTTCTGCCAAAGTATAGAAATGTAAGAAAATTTAAGGTTTATGGCATATGAGGAAGAGGGAGATAATTTGGTTTAATTTATTTTGATGTCCCCTAATTCAAAACAAACATTTTAGTCTAACGTGAAAGGTAGTCAAAAATAGAAAATCAATAAAAGTTATGGTCAAATAGTATATACATGTTTGTGCACTGTGTTAAGAAGATACTAATAATCAAGTGATCAAATTATAGGCACAATGATATTGAACTCACCCGAACAAAACTAAAATGTATTTTTATTTCGTGTGTGTGTTTATATATATGGGTGTACATATAAAAATAAGTAAGCACGAATTTCAAAGTAGATGAACGACTAGTGAAGAAGATGGGATGATTGACTTAGTATTCGATGATCATTTTTTTGGCTGAATATCAGCAAGAGAAACGTCTTGTTCGAACGATTGACAGAAGGCACCACAAAAAGTCCCCACAAGGTGGTAATCAACCTTCAGGACAATTAACAAGGAGCACTCTTTCGAACTAGAAATTGATCAGGTCAAGGCTTATGAAACAATCGATAACTCTCATAGATTGAACCAGTCTCTGGTTTTATTATATGCGAATAACTTTGTAATTACCAAAAAGTCCTCCTTGAAAGTTAATGATGAGGGAGCTAATATGTACTTTTGTAATGCTGAGACCTATGTCTATAAATAGGAGTTCATGTCATGAATAAATGTCACTCTTTTTTTACTGTTCTCTACTGTGTTTTCTCTCTCTCCCTAATCACATTCTAGCAGAACATTTTATTCCTTAGGTGTGTTTCTCAAACACAGTTGAACTCAACAATGGGTATTTACTCTTACGTACCACCATATTCTTAAATTTTGTATTTTACCTATATATCACCCAAATATTTCATATCACATAAAAAATATAACCAGTTTTAATTTAAAAAAAATGTGAAATACTCATTTTCTTGCACGCGTAAAACGACATGCATGCAAAAATTGAAGTTTAAGTGTCAGGTATGTAAACACATATGATATGAATGTCATACATCAAAATCTATTTAACGAAGCTACCAAACAAGTCCTGAGCAAACCAACAATAAAATGTGTCTTCTAATTCGGGACAACAGTGTGATCGGATCAAGTAGTTCACAAGTAGGATTACATTTGACCTCGAAAATGGCTCGTGAGCCGATTTATGGGAGCTAATGAGTCAAATTTGTGCTAACTCCAACTATAAAAAAAAATATCTCACTTATCTATATAGAATAATAATAATAATATAATTATTATTTATTATATTATTGTAACGGTCGTTTGCTTTTATATCTTTGATAAGACTGAGATGTTGTATGATAACATATTAAAGTAGGGTCTAACATAAAAGGATGGCGATATTTTTGATGTACATAAGTGAGATATTTATGATATAGATAAGTGAGATATATATTTTTATAAATGGGGTGGTTATTGACTTTATGAAAAGAAAGATGATATTTTTGAATTTATTAATGTTTTAGGTGCTGTAAAAAAAAATAAAAAAAAAATAAAATAGGGGAAAGGGCTTTCTCTTCCCACGGGTTAGCCTCCTCCTCCCTCACTCACTTTTTGTCCATATTAGCATCAATGCTAGAAGAATTTGGGCATAACCCACAGATAATATAAGTCCCTACGTCATAAAATGATTCAATAATGATATTCACCAAATGACCAAAGTAATGATAATTTGTATCATTTTAATATTTTTTTTAATTTATGCCTAAAAATATATTTCTTTTTTAAAAAGTGGATTTTACAATTTTAAAGCATTTTAGTTATCTCATACCTAAATTTTAATTCTTACATTCAAAGTATATTATCTAAGAAAAAATATAATTCACATTTTCATACATTTTTTTAAATATAAAAAAATAGGTTTAATTTGCAAAATAATTAAATGCATATGTAAATTTCGGTTTTAAGAAATGTAATGAGATTGTCTAATATGAAACTAATGAAAGTTTAGGGGTGAGATATGTAAATGATGCTGAGTGATTGTGCTCGAATCCCCTGATCTCATGCCGATTCCTGCTTCTTTGCCCTAAATTACAAGAAAAAATTGTGTATATAAGACAAACGCAGTACGTCAGAAAGGTTATTCAGAGAGTATTGGGAGTTAAATTCGCGTTATACCCCTTTAACCTATCTGTAATATAAAAATATATGAAAACATAAGCTTTTTCGAATACCAAAGCCGCAAAGTTTTATCACCATGCTCTTTGTTTTTGGCGCATTGTATGATATTTGACAAATAAACTCACAATGATTTTCCCATTAATCCTTATTGTAAAGGGCAGCAGTTCATTCACTATGTTGATCTGCGATGGAATGGACATCGATTTGTAAATGTATTCGCCATTGGCGAACTCTGGAGGGACTATTATTCTAGGGTTGAAATTTTCTGTGCACAATGTGGCGCGAAAGGAGAAGGAAATGTTGGTTAAAAGTATTGAAGGATGTGAGGAAAGAGGAGAAGTTTGGAAAGAAGTTAGGGTTTTTTGGGAGCTTATTTGGGCCTTTATGAGTTGGAGCGATTCGTGTTGCTGTATCTCACTTCGGTAAGTTTGGAAATCTCCGATTGTTAACATTTTGTGACTTATATTTTTTTTCTTTTTGATGCAGTATTTGCCATCTTCTTATAATCTAGCATGGATAGATGTAAATTTATTTTTTCTTATGATGTTATTCTATCACTGTAGACATATATTGCCTGAATCGAATAAATCCTTGCCTGTTTTATTCGTGCTTTTTATGGTTTTGTGTTTTGATCGCTTGTGTTATTTGCACTTACTTGAGTTTCTCCATATTCTCTTCCTGAAATATCTGAAATCAGTGTCTTATCTCCATGTTCATGGACCTTGCATCACTCTCCAATCATTCCTACCACAAGTTCTTAAACTTTTCAAGTGGGGCATTCTCATGCATGCCACCTAATTCCTATTTATTTACATTACATATCTAACCTTATTTACATATCTAACCCCTAAACTTTAATTTTTACATTTACACCACCCAAATCTTTCTTATCACAACAAATGCACCGCCATTTTAACATCCAAAATGTAAAACACGCGTTTTCATGCATGAGTAAGGAGGCATGCATGTAAAAATTGAAGCTTTGGTGTATGATATATAAATACATAATAATTGTGTGGCATGTATGCAAATCTTCCTATGATGTAATAGGAGCAAGGACCAATTGACTGTTTTCGTGGGGCACCACTTGCAAATGGTTAGGCACACATCTAATAAAAATGCGCAAGTTGGTGAGAGACAACCATTTGATATTTAAACGTGTGGTGCTGTCTTTACTAATTGATTTTGATATCCTCAATCACACAAGTGATTTCCACATCGATTATCATTTTCATTTAAATTGGACATCTTTGTTAAGCTAAAAAGAGTATACGCTATACAGTAAGGATACAACTAAGAGCCATTACATGCTTTGTTTACTACTTACACAAACTCAACTGGACGTCCATATTGCATTCCATTTGATGCAAAGTAATATTGGGTTTTAATAATCTTTATGTATTACAAGGAGAAGCAATTTGTCATATTGGGTGTGTGTGTGTTTTTTGTGCCTATAATCAAGTTATATCTGTATTTCAAGTAGTCATCATTCATGAATCCTCGTGTTTTAGCATTCCACAACAAAATTGAATTATAGGGCTAGAAATTTACTATTTGGCTACAATTTGGGTTTTCTCTTTTATCAAAATAATTCAAAATATTATTCGGGGGAAGCTATTCTCATGATTGCATGTACAATCAATCGTCTTTCTTAAAGTATTTTGGGATTTAAAGCACCAACGGAAAAACTATTTACATTCTATTATGATATTAGAACTACAAATAATTTCATTCCTAGAATTTTTGGATCCACCGCTTTTATTAAATTTTCTTTATCGTGATATGGGGAAGTTAGATACTCAGAGTGGTACAAGTGCTATCATTTACTCACCAAAATTTTTTTCTTCTCTTCAGATCTCACTTTTGCAAAACAAACATCATATCTTCAAGGGAGCCATTGCCATCAATTGAATATAATAACAAATGTGTTTTTTCTTTGATTCATCCTCGTTAACATCATCCCTGTTAGTTTCATTTGTTCTTGATCATCTATCTTATTTTCTTGAACCTATTGTGTCAGCCAATGTGTCAATTGAATCATTCCAAAATGGGCCACCACTTCATGATGATTTCAAATTTGATCATATTTACTCTAGCTGTATAGTTCTTGATTCGAGTCCAGAGCAAGTTTAAGATTTGCAAGCCATTTATGGAATTAATATAAGTGTAGTTCCAAATACTACTCAACAGTTAACACATGATTATAACATTCCCATCACTATAGGAAAGGCACAAGCGAATGATTAATTACCCTTTATATTCTCTAGTTCTCACTTTCATATAAGACTTGTTTAGACAGGTTAAATACAATTCATATTCCAAATGCAATAGCAAAGCATTATTTGATGAGAAATGGAGAGATGCTATGATAAAAGAAAAGCAGACATTAGAGAAGAACAAAATATAGAAGGTCTTTGATTTACCATTGAAAATGAAAATTTGGGATGCAAATTGATTTTCACATTGAGGCACAAGTCGATGACTATTTGGAAAGATATAAGGCTAAGCTTGTGGCCAGGGGGAATACATAAACTTACAAAATTTATGATTTGGAGGCATTCACTCTAATGGCTAAAATGAACACAATCAGAGTTTCATTATCACTACTCGCCAATTTTCATTGTATTTGCATTAATTTGGATAGGGAGACGTACATAGAGATTTCATTTCAATTCAAAAAGGGATATGAGAAGTAATAAAGTTTATAAGTTGAACATATCATTTATGCTCTAAAGCAATTTCAAAGGGTTTGACAACTTTTCTAATGTGATGCTTGGTAGTAGATTTAGATAGAGTTAGATTTCAGACACTCTTTATCCAACACTCAAAATGATTGGGAGTAATAAGGCTTTTGGTGTATGTTAATTACATAAACATGGCGTAGAACAATGAAAAGGGGAAGTATACTGATAGGAATCGAGACAAACTTTCACAGAGATTAGGGCAGAAATAATATATTTTGTTCTGACGATATCAAATCAAAACAATATAATTACAATTACATAATAATAAACACTTACATTTCGAGAAGTAGACGATCTCTCCCCAAACCTTAAACCTAAAACTTGAGACATAATCTCATAGCATACTTACGTATAAGCATAATAAGTCATACTTATACCAAATAATAATAACAAATAAAAGACTAAATTGTCTTTGGGCGCTAGTCTGACATCACTCTCCTTTTGAAAAGACACATTGGTCTCAAGGTAGAATTAAAAAAAATTTCATTGGATCAAATCGTGTGGTTCCCACATAAACTGACCTGAGTTTGACTTTTGTCGTCAATACTTGATTGAAATAAGTGACAGGTCGTTGACACTGTATGAGGACCGTGCCTAATCCATAGCCTAAAACATCCGTCTCTACAATGAAAAGTTGGTTGAGATCCGGTATCACCAACGCGGGTACACTCGTCACGACCTTCTTTAACTTCTCAAAATTCTTGGTCACTGTTTTCTCTCATTGAAAGTTATCCTTCTTTAATTTCTCTGTCAAAGACCGCACAATAGAATTATAAATCTTTACGAAGTTCCAATAAGTATCCTGCAAGTCCCAGAAATCTTCTCAACCCTTTATAGGACTTAGGTAGTGACCACTCTAACATAGCCACCACCTTCGATGGATCTCCTGCACTAATGTTTTGCAAACTAGGGTCACCGCAAAGCACTACTATATTATTTTCCTCTTGAAACTCCATGGTCAAAAGTTTCCAATTTATTTTAGTTTCCCACAAGGATTGCAATCATTTCATACCAAATATCATGTTAGTACTCCCTAAATCCAAGGGAAGAAGGTCCTTCATCACCTCAATGCTCTGCAGTGTCAAAATTCGCCATTTACAAACTCTCCTGCTCTTCTCTACATGCATGTTCCCATCATGACTCCAAAACACTGTGTCAACCATCTCAAGCCTCAATTGCTTCATTACTTGAGTAGAGATGAAGCTTTGGGTGGCCCCAATATCTACCAACACAACTACGTCCTGTTCTCCATTCTATCTCTGAAGTTTCATAGTGTCGTTCGGTGTTAACTCCTCTTTTTAATTTAATGTGACTTTTGCGAAGTGAGGTGCTCCTACTCCTTTATCACAACCTTCTATTTTTTGCATTCCCTGCCTCTTTATCACACACTGTGAGAATTTGTAATTTTTAATCCTTGCAACGGTGTTCTTGGGCAAACTTTTTATCACACTGAAAATATAACATTTTGATTTGCTTCTTCTGAATTATGCCTCTGTAAGATGTTTGAGTGTTGTCCTCTGTTGTGACCGATTATTCCTTTCATGTGGAGTCTCCTTCTGGATTCTATTGTTTGAGCTTTTAGTATCGTCGTGGTTGTAGTAGTTTGATATGGCGCTCTACTTGTGATGCTCCTATTACCCTGCTCCATCTCATTTTTATCTTCAACCAATTGCACTAATTTCATAATTTTCCCCAATACTCGCGATCTTAGCAAATAAAGTGTTGCTCGAATTTCTTGCTTCAACCCTTTCATGAAGTTTCATTCTAACACCTCTTTGGATATCCCTCTTAAATGGTCGGATAACATCTCAATTTTCTCCCTATAATCCTATGCTAATGCAAAAAACAACTCGTGTAAGGCTCATTTCCGTGTGGTTTTGAAACGCTCCAACAATTGGTCCTTGAAATTTTTGCATGATCTAATTTGTTGGTGTTGTTCTCTCCATTGATATGATGTTAAAGCCTTTCCTTCCACCATCAATTTTTTTTCCTCCATGAGCCCATTAGCCATAAAGTATCTCTCAATGTGATAAACCCAACAATATGCATTCTTTCCTTCAAAGTCAGACGTCTTCAACTTCCTCATGCGTTAGTCTCATTCCCAATTTCCTTGACCAAAGTTCCTTCCATCCATAAAATAGGGTTTGGTACCCTTCCTCGAACCATATTAATTTCTCTTATTCCATAAGTTTGGCTCACCTTATACTCAGTTTGCTCATGCCCATATGCACCTGAACCTCCTTTCGCCTTAAAGGCTACTACAACAAATGATATTGGTGATGTTCTTTCAAATAGATCTTTTCAACCCAAAATTGCATGCCATCCCATTCCGCATGCTGACGTTCACCCAGCTATCCGGGTTTCGCATTATTATTTTTAAGTGTTGTCGTTTGTCGAAACACCTTGAAACGGTGTAATGAAGAGGTTCGGTCGCAGGAGGTGTATATGATTCCAACGTTGTAGCCCCCTTCCTCAATGGTTTCAGGTAGGAGTGGAGCAGAGAGAAGGGAGTTTTGGGTCTCTGTGCACTGTGATCCCGCTATAGGCTTCCTAGCTCGTGATTCCACAAATGTTGTACCCCGCAATCCCTAATTCCACAGAGCTTGTTTGCCGTGAGGATTCTAGTAGGTCCAAAGAAGGTTAATTCATTAAGTTCAATTTTCTGCAAAGGCAAGGAT